CAGGGGATCTCGTAGTCGAGCAGTCTCGACTAGAGCTTTCTTACTTGTTTATTTAAGCCTTACAGTTCGCATGGAATATTATACGTTTGGTAGGTGCAGCAGCGCCGCCTTAAAACTGCCTGATAATGCCGCTTTCGAACTCCTGGAACCAGGCGTATTGCTCAAGATGCCTCTGAACCACGTCGCCCAAGAAGTATATATGAATGGCTACATATCCGTCCGGATCGCTGTCATCATCGGAGTCGTCGAACGCAAAATCGATGTCCTCGTCGGACAAATAAATGTCAATGACAATGGTGGCATGCATCAGGTAGGTAATGGCGCAGCAGAGAGCGGTTATTGACTGCATTCGCATATACTTCCTGAACGTATCCATTGGCAACTGGCCGAGACCCTCATAGTCATCCATTGGCTCCCATAAGCTCAAATCCTGCTCAGCCTTATGCATGATGATCAGTGATAGCGTCACATACAGCATGAAGCCAATTACGTTGCGGACGATCTCTTTGACCAGGGAAACGGGGCCTATTGTGCAAACGTTGATGCTGGCGAAGACGGTGAGAATTGTGAACACGTAGAACATGATTGTGCAGAGGTAATAGGCGAAACGCGTCCATGCCGCAGGACCCAGTGGATGCGCGAAGAAGACCTCAATGTGGCAGAACGCAATCACAGCATTCTGCGCAAACTCGAGTGTGTTAAAGAGGAAGAGCACCGCACGCATTTTGCGGGTAAATAGTATATTATATTCTCTAAGATATTGTAATTATAAATGTGCTTAACCTGTTGTCTATATTTTGTTCTCTTTCTTTCTGGCAGCTTTGTCATGGGTGTTGATTTCGGTGATTTCTAGAACTCCCCCGTCACACATGGATCGCAGCACTGCGGCTGAAGCTCTGGAACCACTCGTACTGCTCCAGCTTCGATTGCACCCACTCGCTCATGAAGTAGATGCGCGCGGGTATATAGTCGCTGGCTTCATTGTCGTCGGCGTCGTCGTATTGGTAGGAGCCGCTTTCGTTGGACAGGAGCACGTCGATGGCAATGGTGGCGTGCAGCAAGTACATCACACCGCAGGCCAGAGAGGCAGCCGCCTGGTATCGCATGTAGATGAAGAATGGGTGCACTGGTTTCTCCACGCCCAATGTGTCATGGATATTGACGCCCAGAACGTTGAAGTCCTGCTCCGCATCCTCCAGCGTCATCAGTGAAATGATCACGTACACCACAAAGCCAATCACATTGCGCACGATCTCCTCGCACAGGGAGAGCCGGTGCCCGGTGCAGTTGTCGATGCTCGCGAAGACGATCACCACCGTAAAGGCGTAGAAGCAGGCACAGTAAAAAAAGTAAGCCACCCGCCTTTGGAGTGTGAGTGCATCCAGGGACTGCGAGAGAAAGCCGTCTATGTGAAGGAACATGAGCGCCAGGTTAAATATGGTCTCAATGGTGTAGAACTGAAATAGAATCGCCCGCATTATGATTCGATCCTGTACACTACAAATGCACACACACCACACCGAATATATATATATTTGAATATACGTATGTATGTATATACGTGTGCTTATGTGTTTTTGTGTAATTCTCGTCTGACAGTTTTAGTACAGTATGTTTGACACGCTTTTGTTGGCTCCAACTGAGGCTAAGGCAGTTGAAAGCGCTTCTCGCTCATCATAAAAAAACCACTTCAGAGTTGCCCCGTTGCCAATGTTGTGGTTCGTGTTGTTGTTGCAGTTGCTGGTCCTTGTCGGACTGCTACTGCTGCTGCTGGTGGAAACAGTAGCAACGTTTTGCTGCCAGTTTGATGTTGTTGACGGCCCGTTGACGGCGATTATGTTGATGACACACAAGACCGCAACGAATTTACGCGCAATTCTCCATCGCTCCGCCAGCTCGAGTGGCAAGCGGTAAGCATTTGTATTTAAATACACACCACAAAACGT